CCGACCTGTCGCACCACCCCAAGTTCATCCCCCAGTTCATCGACATGCAGCGGACCACACAGGCCGACATCGTGACGGGGACGCGCTACAAGGGGAGGGGCGGCGGTGTGTATGGGTGGGACATGCGGCGCATCCTCACGAGCCGTGTGGCCAACTACCTGGCGCAGGTGATGCTCAGCCCCGGTGTGTCGGACCTCACGGGCTCCTTCCGGCTCTATCGACGGGCGGTGTTCGAGGACGTCATCTCTTGTGTGGTCAGCAGGGGCTATGTGTTCCAGATGGAACTCATCACCAGGGCCACCAAGATGGGCTACACAGTGGCCGAGTGCCCCATCACCTTCGTCGACCGCATCTATGGCTCGTCCAAGCTGGGGGCGGGGGAGGTCATGCAGTACCTCAGAGGGCTCATGCTGCTCTTCTGGACGCTGTGACTGATTGAGGGAGGGGCTGATGGGCATGTCAGTGAGTGTGTGTGTAGCGTAGATAACCGCATTATGGAACGTCCTTCTTGGGTTGTGCTGTGGACTGATTGTGTTGCCAGTGTTGCCTTGTCCCTGGTGATCGTGAGCGCGAGGTCGGGCTGCGATGTCTAGGCGTTCATTGCAGCCCCGCCTCACGGTGACGCTCAGAGAGGCAGACGGCAATGCGTTGCACTCACTTCCCTTGGATGTGTCTTGTGTGTGCATATGAATTAGACTATGGTGGTCATGATGTCGACTTGGTGTGCATATTCGTGTTGCAATGCATGGACGGACAGTGACTTGGTGACTTCTTCACTTGAACGACCTACCTTGACAATGAATGCACCACTTGATGGTCGCGGTCACACACATCGCTCCCTTCGATCACAGTACCTACCTGCCACAGATCCGCCAATACATCCATCAAATGTATGTGAGTCGTGAGAAAAGGGACCAACGTGGTCTTCACTGCGGCGGGCTGGTGAAAGGGCGGCGGATGACACTTGAGGCGCACTCACCAAAGGGCAGCTTCGGGCCTGGAGAGGCCGAGGGTGCCCTTTGGCCACACTGCGCCTGCAGCGTCATCCGCCGCCCATCCCATGCCATCTGCCTGCCTGCCTGCCTGCCAATCCAGCCAGCATATGTTGGATGGATGGACCATTCACTCACTCATATGTTGGTTGATGCATTGCATTCCTTCATTATCTTTTTCTCTCGGACGGACAGACGTACAAAAGCAGCACCACTCGACGGACGCCTCGGGGGGCCATCCCATCCCACGCAATCACTGCCTGCCATTTCTTGCGCTTGCGTACAGAGAAAAACACGGCAGGCACCAGACATACACACACACACCTATATCCGTTTCCATCTGTGTTTGGCGCGCTCGACTAAAGCGCGGCTCTCTCTGCGCTCCGCTCATCTCATCACTCACTGAAAACACCTCGCCACGACACGACACGACACACGACAAAAGCAGCACGGACGCTGATCCCATCCACACGCTGACATACATACATACATACATACGGTCGGTGTGCACACGACGCATACAGAGCGAAAAAAGGGTGAGGTGGACGACTGAGTCAGTCAGTGGGGGGCTTGTCATGTCAGGCCATCGTTCTCACTCCTTCTTCCCTTCCCTTGGCTGCTCTGCTCACGGATCTATCGCAAAAACTGCAGCACCTTCCTTTGCCTCTTCCACATAAATACGATACGTGCACACATACAGAGGGTGTGGAGATGCTGGCTGGCTGACTGACTGGCCGGCCGGCCGGAAAAAGGGGAAAGGGGTCGGTGAGCTGACTGACAGACAGACAGAGACCCTATGACATACACACATCCAGACATCCCGACAGACAGACCTACCTCCCGCAACGTCCTAGACACACAATCATCCGTCGTGACGACACTCTGAGAAAACGGTACCTCCCTCCCGCCCCTCCCCTCAAGTCAGTGTGTGGTGGTCGGCTGGTGGGTGTGGTGTGTCTGTCTGTTTGTGTCGCTTCATTTCATTTTGCTGGCCATAGAGACGCCTCCCTTCTTGGTATCGATGGACACGTGCGACAGCACACGGCTGCAGCCCTTCTCCAGCAGCATCGTGTGGGCCTTCTTGACGATCTCAAGCACCTGGTCCATGCTGCCCTCCACACACGTAGCCATCTGACACACACACACACACACACACACACAGAGCACACAGAGCAACCACACACGCGTGCACACTGTTGTGTGTGTGTGTGAGAGTGAGTGTGTGTGCGTATGGCGTCTGGTCTCACCGGTCCGACTTCTGCCTTGACTCCGCTCATGGACTTGATCATGTCGATGACCTCGTCTATCATCTTGTACTAAACAACTCACACACACAGCACAGAGACATGCATGTGTGCGTCGAGCGCATAAGCGGCCGGCGGCTTCTCTTTCTCACCTGTTTGGCCTCATCTTCGAAGATGGGCACGATCTGGAAGCTCTGCACCCACAACACACGAACACATGCGCACATCCGTACAGCCTTGGCGCCGCGGAGCATCGACAACGCGACAACGTACCATGTTGACTTGTGCGAGATCTCCCATGGTGACTGACAGCAAAGATCTGTGATTAATGGAGCAACGGAGGGCGTTCGAAGAGGGAAAAGAGGAAAAAGGCGCGATCACCACAAGCTCGCAAATGCCTGTCGTTCCCGCGGTCTCCAATGCCAAGACCGACGGCTGCGGCGATGCTAGTGGATGGGTTACTGTTGAAGTAGCGAAGATCAACTCATGGCGATGTCGTCACACACACAGCCGTCGGCAGAAGGGGCGCTCCATCTGAGCTTCGGCGGCAAGGCCATTCACCTCACACTCACGAGTGAAGAGCGGACCAACTGCGCGGCCAAGATCACCGAGTTCTGCGAAGCCAACAATATGGACCATGGTTTGAAGCAGAAGGCTCTCAGCGCCATGGACATGCTTGCTGCCGAGGAGCTGCACCATCCCCATGTGCTGTCCAGCAGCAGCTGCCTCCCCTCATCCCCGCCACAGCCACTGCACACGCCCACCGACTCCCTTCTGTCATCCCCCTCCCACAGCGGCGCGTCAGACAACACGCCCTCGCCATCGGACATCCCAGCACTGCCTGTGCCAGACAACCCCCCTCCCCTGCTGCCGTTCCTCCCTCTCCCCTTCTGGTGCGCATACGACTCGCTCATGCAGATCAGCCCCAGTGTCTGCCACACACTCCCCGACCTCGAGCACTCTTATGCGGCCGCCCTGCGGGAGGCCCGCGAGAGGAAGGACAAGGCGCTGGCGGAGCTGCAGCTGCGTCAGTCGCTGGAGATGGAGCTTGCGATGCAGCAGAGTGACATGGCTGATGGGATGGTGCAGGGGCAGGAGGAGGGCGACGACGAGAGCCCCACGCCCATCACTGAGCTCGTCAACCAGCATGTGGCCGAGCTGGAAGCACTCGAGAGGTGTGTATCAGCCAGAACGAGAGGATAGCTGTGCAGGAGTGTGTGTGTGTTTGTTTCACTGCCCTCTTCGGCTGTGTCATGGCTGGCAGGCACTGGACGGCTGAGCTGCAAAGCATGCAGCGGCAGCAGCTGGAAGAGTACCGCGACCTCATCCTAGATCTGTTCGCATACGAGGTCACCAAGACCAGCCAATCCACACCCCTCTCCCTACCACCACTGCCATGCGCAGAGCCACCGCCAGACAGCGCGCTCCCCCACACACCCACCGAGGCCGGCACTGCTGCTCAGACCAGCACCCGACCAACATCCCGCGCAGCGTCCTTCATCCGTTCACTGCGGAGTGTGGCCGACAAGGCCAAGAGGGGCCGCAAGGGAGGGCGGCTGCGCCTGCTGACCAGCCATGCGGATGACAGTGCTGTTCCCTCCGCGCCTGTCACTTCACCGTCGAATGCGTCGGCATCGCAGCGATCTGCAGAGCACGGCGAAGGCGGGACCAGGGGCAGTGGGAAAGGAGAGTGGTGGGAATCGATGGTGCCCACAGGAGCACTCAAGGTAAGAAACCGCGGCAAGCAACGGCTTCTCATGACGCCTTTTCACTTTGCAGGAGGAGGCAGCGATTCGTGTGGGCTTCGGTGCTCAGCAGAAGGAGATCTGCATCCTCCGCCTCTGCTCGGGCCACGTCCTCGACGTCCTCAAACCCACACCCCACCCCGCAGCCCATTCACCGCCCCCCAGCTCCCTCGCATCCGTTCTTCGTGACAGCCCACCAGACCTCCTCTCCCCGCCACGATACACATACGACAACGGCCACCATGATGCTTTTGCGTCTGCTCAGTGGGGGGCCGACGATCGCATGGCGGCTCCGTTGGCATACGATCGGCGGCTGAAAGGGGGGCTTCGGGGTGAGGTGCCTGTCGCATATGGCGATGCGCTGTCTGGTGTTGTGCTGCCGACGCCCGAACGGCTGCAGTTCGATACACAACAGGTGTGCGTGGATGTGTGTGAGGGGGGAGGGGAGGGGGCCAGGCCAACAATGCATGCGCTGATGTATGTATGTTATGTTGTCCTGTGTGTGGTGTGCAGGACCATCAGTTGGCGGATGCGTGTGAGAGCAGCCCGGACTTCCACTTCCCACCGCTCAACCAACAGCGTAAACTGGTCAGTCAGTCAGTCAGCCCCTCAGTCACCGACCGACCTTTGTTTGTGTGGTGAATGTGATGTGGGCTTGGCTTACTCGGTGAATTCCCTGCCTTTGTGTGTGTGAGTGTCTGCAGGCTTGTCAATACGGCCCTCTGCGTGTGGGTGACTTCTTCATTACTCGACACACCAACCTCCCCGCTGTACAGGTGTGGTGTGGTGTAGACAGCCATGGGTGCTTGTATTCTTGTGTATGTGTGCGTCAGGCTGTGATTCATGTGTTGGTGTCTTCCGACGAGGCCCCGTCTGACCAGCTGCCGCCAGACCTGCAGGCGGCGCTGCAGCGAGTACTCGAGGTGACTGACGCATCATAACCATAACCATAAATTACATTCCAGCACAGCACATGGGGTGCGGTGCACTGCACGTGGTGTGATGTGATTTGTCTGCATCTGTGTGTGTGTAGGTGTGCAGCGAGAACAGTGTCCGTGTGCTGACTCTGCCCGTGCTGATGGAGGCCGAGACCTCACTCGCATACGCACCACTGCAGAGAAGGGTCTGTCAGTCAGTCAGCCGCGATGGCAAGAGGGACAGACACATTTCATGGCCATGCCGCCCAGCCCACATCAAGGCTTGTGTTTGTATCCTGTTTGTTTTAGATTCAGCACGTGTTCCGTCTGCTGAAGAGCACGCTGGCCCAGATAGCCGACCGCCCTCCCGGCCGCAGCCCCCCATTCACCCTCCGAATCATCAACCTGGTGCTGTCGCCGGCTTGTTTCCTGCCACCCGCGGCGGCACACGAGCAAGGCGATGGTGTCTGTACGTCATACCGGTCACTGGTGGATGACGCTGTAGCCTTCCTGACGCACTCGTTCCCCTCATTCTGATCCTTCTGACAGGACAGACAGTGTACAGCTTGGTGTCTGCTGATTAGTTACTGGTCGATCTGTCGACCCACAATGAAATGGTGAGTGGATGGATGGTTGGTGTGACTTCTTTGCATTCGCAATGTGACGTGACGTCTTCTTTTCTCCCACTTTTACACTAACACACGGGGATGCATCAAGCAGCAGTCGTGTCTAGCTCTTGACAGTTGACTCAACAGCTAAGTCTCTTTCTGCAGCAGACCCCCGGCAGCCTCCCTCTCACACTTTGGGCACGTACACACAAATCCATAGCCTCTCAGTTCTTCCCTCCGATCCGCCAGAGACCTACAGCCATCCATCCATCCGCACACACTCTCACAAATCGACGCCTGCGGGCGCGACCTTGGTGCGTGTGCTTACATCGTGTTGTCAATGTAGCTAATGGTCAGCTCTTCACCGGCAGCCACATCACGAGTCGTGAACGCCGATATCCTGACGAGTCAGGGACACACACAAGAGCGCCAGCCCACGTGGATGGGGCATATACCACCTCGGCATTGACATGTGCTTACGTGTTCCTATCGACATATGTGCTCTCGCTGTTGGGCTCGCAGCTGTGATTCAAAAGGCTGAACACCGGGAACAGTGCATAGCCCTTGAACGAAGGGAAGAGCTCCGACGACAGCGAGCCCAAGAGAGCGGTATCATCACCGCTGCTATTGTAGCCAGACCAGTCCCAAAAGAGCACGTCAGCCTCTCTGTCGTCGTCGCTTGCATCACTGCCCTCACTGCTGTCACTCGACGCCTCCCCGCTCTCATCGTCGTCTGATGCATTGCCGCCCTCCCCTTCCTCTGCATCTTGCCGCTCTTTCTGCTGTTCTTTCGCCATCTTGGCCCTATTCAGCTGACACAGGGACGGAGCGAGAACCTCGATGAGCTCCTTTTTCGCCCCATCGTCGTCCTTCATGTCGTTGATGGCCTCCAGAAAGAAGACGATTGGGTGTGGGACCTTGACAGAAATGACGTTCAGACCCAACGCCCCCAGCCACAAATCAAACGCATCCTCGGAAAGGAACTCCTGCTCCAGCCAAGGATAGGTGGCCATGCTGCCGCTGCATACGAGTAGCTGGCGGATCAGACTAATGGCTTGCTGGCTCTCCTCCTTCAACTCCCTCCTCAACTCCTCGGCCGTGCAGTCCTCCGGCACGTCCAGCACCTCATGGATGGGCTTCCTCACGAGCCGGCGCAGGACATTGAGCGCCTTGCTGGTGCTGGTGCTGCTGCTGCCGCCATGGTCCGGATCACTGCCTCCACTTGTCTGGTGGCCTTGTTCCGTCTTCTGTCGCTTGTTGGGAGGCGATGCAGCATGATCATCGAGCTCCGACACGACTGCGCTGAGAAGGATGGCCAGCATCGTCAAGAAGACGTTGTTTGCGCGATGCGAGAGCCCGACGAGGGACTCGAAGATAGGCACACACGATGGATAACGCAACACCGACAAAGCGCGCTGGCCTGATGGAAGCCACACACACAAGCAACCACAGTGTGTTCGGTCTGCATCCATGGGTCTTCCTGCTGTATTGTTGCGTACCTGCCTGTCTGCACTCATCGCTGCAGTAGAAGGCGAAGGGCGTCAGGCTCCTGTACTTGCTAAACACCTCGTCAACCACGATGGGAGTCAGATGGCCGACAGTGTGTTCATCTTCCCCATCGCTCCGTGGGTCCCTCGGCAGCAAAGGCTGCTTCACATAGGCTGAGCACTCCTCGGTCTTCATCACATCCGCCGAAGTCAGGTTGCCTTGAAGCAGATGCAAGTGAAGCTGGAGGGAACCAAGGAACTTGTTGCACCGGACACAAACGACATGCGATGACTGCTGAGCTCTCTTTTGAAGGCATGCGAGAGGCTGATCCGAGAGGAACGTTGTGTGACGTTTCAGGTCCGTCTTGGGGTAGATCCCCTTCCCTCTGCTTGGATCTACAGTCCGAACCTCCACATCAGCCCAGAACGGCATGGATGACGCAGGGAAGAAAGTGTGTCGAGACGCTTTTCAGCTCGCAAGCCCCCCCCGCGCCCCCCGAAGATCCCCCCGAGTGAAGTCAAGCATGTTGAAGCGGTTGCTGGTCCGCCTTTTGAACCGCGCCTTCGGCGCTGTGTTCGAGAACTTTCAGGGTGACCAGTTCACGCTATCTTTGTTCCGCGGCCATGTGACCTTCAAGAACCTGACGTTCAAGCAGGACCTGTTCCGCATGATGTCGCTGCCGGTGGACGTCACGTACGGCAAGGTCGGCAATCTGACCATCAAGATTCCGTGGATGGCTCTCACTACCCAGCCAATCATCGTTGAGGCCGAGAACCTCATCCTCATTGCAACGACCAAGCCATCGGCTGCCTGGGACATCGAGGCCGAGAAGCAGGTGTGGGAGGACTTCAAGAGACTCATCCTCGACCAGGATGAGCTATTTACATTCCTCACAGGTGATGAGCCATGGAAATAGTCATGCATTGTTTCTGTCTTGTTCACAATCCTTCTGCTGATCCTGTTCAGGGCGCCAGAAAGAGGAGACGCTCTTTCATCAACTGGGCTATTTGATGCTGCGCAATCTCCGGCTCACCATCCACAATTTCGAGATGCGGCTGGAGGACAGCGAGATTCGCCCGGACCGCCCTTTCGCTTTTGGCTGGGCAGCTAAGTCCATTTCTACTGTGGAGGCCGACGTTGCATGGCGCCCGTTGGGAAGGGCAAAGGAAGCCATCTACAAGACGCCATGGACTGCATTCACGACAGAGAGAGACGACATTTCAAAGGGGCGGTCTAAGTTCACTAAAGCGTTCTTCAAGAGACTGGTGTTGGAGGAATGCAGCCTGTACTTGGATGACCTTGACTCAGCAGTCGACGAGGGGGGAGCGAGCGACGGGAAGGCCAGTCGATTCTGGCTGCCGCATCCGTACGAGCAGCGGCTCAAGATGGGAAGCGATGCCATGAAAGCTGTCCCGCTGGAGACTATGTGTCAGCGAGCTGCCGACGCGCATCAAGCACACACTTACCTTCACCCTCCTCGTGACTTGGAGCTCCGACTCCGCATCTGCCTGGTCCCCCTCTTCCCATCTGACTTTCCGCCAGATGCGCGTGAGGCCCAGGACCCATCCTTCCCTCGACCAACTCTTGCACCTCAGCAGGTGTCTCCCACGACAGACCATGATGACGCTAGCAGTGACAATGATGCAGGCGCACAGTCGGACACCAAGACGGATGCGATATCTGCGAAAGCTGAGGAAGAGGAGGGGTCGTCGTCAGGACATGGACTGAGGAGGGTGGAGGAGATGGCATTGCCGATGTTCAGCATTACTGTTGTTGGGTCGGATGCATCGATCGAAATGACGCAGAAGCAGCTCACACACAGCATGAAGTGGCTGGAATACAATGTGGTGCTCTACCGGGAGCTCGTCTTCGGATTGCTTGGCGACATAGTGTAAGGGCGTATAAAGGCAGAGACACGTGACACACACTGGGCATACGTGCTCAGGGTTCGCGATACGCCTCAGGATGAGATCGATGGATATCGAGTAAGAGACACCACAATTGATGGATCTCTGTCTGTCTTTTCCTTCTTTCACCAGGCTGCCTGGAGACGCAAGCTGACCGGCGAGGCTACACCAGGCGACTTCGACACCATTGAGGGCTTCGAGCAGGTGGGATGGGTCTTTGAGATCCTCAGGCATCGACGAGAAGTCCTCATGGCTCTCAAGACAAAGGTGAAATCCACTCAGGTATTGCAAGCGCCCACGTAGCGGAGCCGTGCATTCACTGATTCATATTGCTGTTACAGCAACCGACAGAGCGCACGCGCCTTGTCCCATCCTCTGCTGTCGAGTCCACCAGCAAGCAGCAGCAGCAATCGCCGTGGTCGCCGTTCGCTGCTGTTACGGGGCTTTTCGGCGCACGAAAAGTCGTGAAAGACGAGAGCAAAGAAGAGGACGAGAGAAAAACCCCAAAGCTCACTCATCGCGTGAGAATGCAGCTCCAGTCTTCGACGAGTCAGTTGATGCTGGGGGAGGATGAAGGCGAGCGGGCACGAGGCAGTGAGACTGCACAGAGGGTCCTGGCCGAGACGGCTGAGGAAGTGGAGGAGCTGCTGAGGAAAGTATGTGACCATGACTTCGACAGAGATAGGCCATTTTCTTCTTCTATCTCTGTCGCAAGTGTTGCAGGAAGGCTGGACTGAGCAGTTGAGCCCCAGTGTCATTGAGAGCTTGGGTGAGGCGCGCATCGAGTCTGATTTGCAGTTCGCTGTCCATCTCACGGTAGACGATAGTGAAGGCACCACGTGGTAAGAATGCTTCATCATGTTTGATCGTTTGGCAGCGCTGGGAGAATCGCCTTGTCGAGAAATCAGCATCCGAGCGCAACCTGTCTCTCTACTGTGAAGATTTCTATTTCGCATTCAGGTGTGAGACAGAAGTTTGAAACGCCAAGTGATTCGATTCATGATCAATTGACATTTCGATCAGGCATTACCAGGACATGGGAGGCGCACTCATGCTTTCAATGGTAAACAAGGGTGTGGTGCCAACCACAGCGTCATAATTGCTTCTCTTTGCAGAAGAACTTCTGTCTCGACGACAAATTGAACGAGTGGCTGGCAATCCCCCGAGTCCTACAGGGGCGCCCAGCCACTCCTATGCGCGCTGTCTCAGAGCACCCTTCATCAGCGCCCTCAGAGGCTGTCGTCAGTGACAATGAGGCGCCATCAAAAGACGAGATGAACGAAGCAGGAGGGTTCTGGATGAGGTTTGAGGTTCGTCTGCAGCGAAAGCTCGACCAGCCCGACATCGTGCTCTATGGCGCAACCACTGGCGAGCTGTCGGGGGCTGTGTCGCCTGTGGCCCTGTTTCGTACACTGAGAGTGTTCACGAGAGACCTACAGCCTGCTGACAAGGCATATTTGATGAACAAAGCTTCCGACAAGGTATGGGATACTCTGGACGATACCGGCAGCCGGCGACTCACTCCTCGTGCTGAATTTCATTTGCAGGTGCGTGAGTTGCTAGAACGCAGCGAGGGCTTCATTACCAAGTTCCTCGTCGGCGATTTCGAACACTTCTCGGGAGACGGTAGGCAAAGTCCTTCCACTCAGGTGAAAGACAGACACCTCTTTGGTTCGGTGCCTGCCTTGCAGTCTGCATTGATGCGACCTCGCCTCTGCGCATCCTTGTGCCGTTTGACGCCGCAGATCCTCTCTCGCGGGTAATCCAGGCAAAGCTGGTCAGCCAGTAAGGCACGTGCTGTCATTACTTGCCAGGGTCTTATATTTGATGCTGGTCGTGTGCAAGTCGATTCCATCGTGCGCCTTCCACGTCAGACTGTCTTCGACCCAGCCACACCACTGCCCATGCTGTACGATCGATACTTGTGGTCATGCCGGCAGCTAAGTCTCTACAGGGTACCGACTGTGGCACACCTCGTGGACAGCGAGAAGGGCCAGGAGCTGCAGCTTTCGCACTTCGTTCGACACGTCGCGACACAGCAACACAAGACCGACGGAGAGGAGAATGGAAGACTTGGATGGTTGGTCATCGCCCCCGTGTCGATGAGATTCTGTGCGGACGTGTGCCATTTCGTCAACCACGAAAAGCTGCCGTCTTTGAGGCTTCTCGCACAAGACGCGACGCCTGGGTAAGGCTCGGATGATTCCTGCGTGTGCACTGACTGCCCTTCTCTTTCGGTCGTGCTTTTCAGAGGATTGGAGGTAAATGTAAGCGACTGCGACCTTCTCGGTCTTCTGAGGCTCACACACGCCTGCATGCAAGAGGTCGAAGAGCTTGCGAGGATCATCCCATCCGAGACATCCAAGGAGACGCTTCCCCATCTTGACGTCTCGCAAGCAATCGACCGGTTCCTGGAATCGCGGGACTTGACACGTGACACATCTGCGCCGCTTCTTGCGGTGCATACTGAACGCAGTGCGGCCATCCCAGCCACGCGTCCCATACTGGCTCGTTCGTCCACAGCACCCGACGCAACAGCACTCGAGGGCGGCGCATCTGACAAGCAACGGGTCTCGCTGCCGACAAGCCAGCCTTTGGTGATCGAAAACATGAGGAACAGACGATCAACTATGCACGTTCCGGATGGACCGGATCTGGCCCAGCTGCTGGTGCACCACAACACACAGTTGCCGAGAAGGCGACTGGATCGAACTGTGAAGGAGAGCATGCAGAGGACAGCTTTGACTGTGAGGCAACGCCTCGTGACCGCCCTCCACGACAGCGAAGAAGTGTCTCCCACCGTTGGGTCTACCAACAGACCTCGATTTACGAGGCGCGGGTCGACCATCAGCGACCTGACTATCACGAGCCGCATTTCCTTTCGCCGTGGCTCAACAGGTGTCCTGACCGTGTCCGACGTGGGTGGAGACCTCCAACCACGGCTTCACTCTGTCAGGGAAGACCATCTTGGTGCGAAAGAAGCCGAGGGCGGCGAGCTTCAGCAAGAGGTCGAGCCGTCGCCTTCGGAGCGACCGAAGACGGCGGAGAAGAAAGAAGCCGGCCTCCTCACGGTGCATGTCATCAGCGAGCTGCCCAAAGTACGCCTCAAGTTGTGGAGCGCGAGACATCAGGATGACGGGTTGCACGAAGAGGCAGAGTCGAAGAGAAGGCACTCCTCGCCATCATGCCGACCGCTGTTGGCCCTCGGCATCGACCAGCATCATGCAGCAGTGGATTCGACTCGTCAGGGCACACTCAAGGTGTCCGTATCGCTTCTGGCAGTGCGCATTTGGGACCCGAGCGGCCTTCCACACGGCTCCCCCCTTGACACACTGTACGTCTCATCCCGCACCTTTCAGTCCAAGGCAGTCACGACAGCAGCGAGCGGCTCGCTACCCGGCACAAGACGCAGTCCAAGGAGGCCTGGCGGCAAGAGGAGACGGAGAAGCCAGTCGCCCGAGCCGTTGCAGGCAGAGACGCCACCCCGCCCTGCTGTGCCAAAGAGGGACGGCAGAGTGCAGTACATCGGCATGGCTGGGGACACGTTGACGATTCTGCCTTTCCCTCCTGCGCTGACGTGGCCATCATTGACAACACCGACTGTTGGCTTCAAAGACAAGAAGAAGGCCGACGGAGCCACACCCCACATCCGGTTGATGTATGAGGGAAGGCTGCTGGATCTCCACAACGCACTGACAGTGACGGTGGAGCAACCACGGATGACGGCCAATTGGGATCACCTCGCAAAGATCATCGGTAGTCACTGCTTGGGAAGAATGATACGTCATGAGTCGTCGTGTGGTGGCATCTCAGATTGGTCCAGTATCTTTCTCGCACGAGTGCCTGGCCCTCTGGTCCTCATGGGTCACAAGGCAGTGACGGCCTCGCCTTCGCAGTCCCCTTTGCCCCGCCACCACCCGCCTCCCTCACCTCCGCCTCCCCGTCTGCTCCATCACGCTTCGTTGTCGTCCATCACGTCGGGTTCTGACGTGGATTCTCACGGCGTGTCCAGCACTACTGTGGTTTGCCTCCGGTTCATCCAGGCCGAAATGTGGGCTCCGTGTTATCAGACGGTCGCACTGGCTGCCGACGCATCTCCCTCACGTATGTCCGCCACTCTGTTGAGCTCCCCTGTGCAGTCACGAGACAGCGATCGCAGCAACAAGCCCGGCCATCTGCAGCTGCCGCACGTGTTGGCGTTCAGAGCGGATCTGCACCTCACCCTACGGCAAGAGGCAACTTGCGTTGTCCCGGCGCCGCCCGTCCTTCTGGCTGACGGCATGCCCTGCTACTCATTCGACACCTCTCTGGCCCTTGGAACATCCCATGCCCGATCACTGTCCTTCAGTGCTGAGACGGAGCAGACGATGCGGCCGTCACTATTGGCGTTCGGTATGACCAAGGAAGTAGAGTCGCTCTATCGCGAGGCTCTGAAGGGTCTTCATACTCCCGCTGCTGCTCGGTGGTCAATGCAAGGCAGACAAGAGGCAGCGGATGTGGGAAAGCAGTCCTGGGAAGGCTTCGAAGCCAAACCGAAAACGCAGTCGTCGGGATTCCACCAGGTACATTGATGGCATGCCACTATCTTGACTTGCGTCTCTGTGCGCTTGTCTTCTGCCGGCAGGTCGGCCCTGAAGTGCACCACAAGACTTCCCTGCGCTTCAGTGTGACCGCGCTGACAGCTGCCTTTGCGCGTCCCCAGCTCGTCCCTCTTCGAGTGGCTTTGCAGGGGCAAGCGACTTCCTCTCGGCGTCCGCCCACCCCCAAGCCAAAACCCTCGCCGGCATCAGACTCGTCGATGAAACGCCAAAAGAAGCTGCGACACAATAGGCTGATATCGCCGATGAGTGAGATAAGCGGCCCGTCGACACCTTCATCCGCCGATCAAGAAGAAGAGGACCTGGTCTGGGGTACGATTGACTGGTGGGATGTCATGCAAGGGACTCCGCTCCTGTCGCCGTGTCGCGTGTCTGGCAAGGCGACATCCGTGCAGAGAGAGATCGCGGATCAGAAAGACATGGTCCCGGCAGGGCTGACGGGAGAGATCGCTGTGGAGCCAATTCAGGTCAATGGCGGAAGAACACCGTACCAGACGTGGGCTGATATGTTGCGTGTCCTGTTTACAGCTCCTCGTGGCGACAGATGCACTTGCCTTCTCGTATCCCCTGCTGTGCCTCACCGAGGCGTTTTGTGCATTCACAGCCTCTCGTGTATCAGCCATTCTCATGACAATTGACCGAGCCAAGAGACAGCCCGTGAACATCACACCGGAGTCTATCAGCCCGACCATCGCCAAGCACCAGTCCATCCTGTCCATCTTGTCTCCCAAGACAGGCTCCGACGTCTCTGCGACGTCGCCAGCAGCCCGCTCGCCCTCTCTATGCAACCAGCGCCGATCGAGTCTGCTGAAGAACAGGGCGTCCATGGAATCCGTCACCTTTCTTGAGCCACCGGCCGTGCAGCAGGAGCCAGCCAGACCAGCCGAGGTCTCACCGGCAGAGTCAGAACGGACCAAGTCGTCGGTGGGTACCTCCGTTGTCCTGTCGCCCGGTCCGATCGACGTCGACAGCAGAAGGGAGTCGGATGCGTTAAGCCGGTCCAACTTGACAGCGGGAGGCGACACGGCGGCTTGGTCGTCCCAGACCGGTCGGAGTTGGGGCATGCGACTTGACCTAGACGAGGTGAAAGACGTTGGTGGGAGGTTGTGGAAATGGCTGGCGTCCCCCGACTACCCCATCACGGCGGACGTCAGGATCCACAGCGTCTCGGTGCAGCTCGTCGAGAACGTGTCTGCGAGGAAGTAAGATGGATGACGCGCACAGATGCTCCTTTTTGCCGGTCTACGGACGGCTTGCTGGGCTCGGCATATTCTGTCACTCAGATTATGTCTGCTTGCCGGCCACGTCGAAGACATCCACTTCACCCTCTCCCGCTACCTGTCATTCGAAGCTCATGCCTTCCTCTTGCAGACCGTGTCATGCGTACGCCCACCCACTGCCACGCCACCCTCGCCCTCGCCCCTCTCCCTTGCGACCAAGCCAGCGCTTTCAACGTACACAGACAAGACAATACCGTCTGCCACCATCGGTCCCAAAGAGACTTCACGAGCAACGAGTCCCACTAGCTTCTTCGCTCGTGCCGGCTTGCTCTTCAAGACTTCTGCCGCTGCGGCTGTGAACGATCAGGAGGGGATGGACGCGAGGGGTCTGGAGACCGGCATGACCGCCGAAGACGAGGCAGCGGCAGAGGAACCAAGGAATCAGACGGCGGATTTCTTGGAGACGGCGCCGCCATTTGTGTCACTTGCTTTTGGGTTCTTGGTGTCCATCGATTTCTTCAATCGTCAGCTTGGCGAGTGTGAGTCCCTGGTGGAGCCATGGGCATGCACAATGAGGGCACTGCAGGTAACAAATACAGGAGGAAAGGCGATGGCTGTGGCGTTTGCGACGTGGATTCATGCAGGAGTCATGTCCTCCTCCACCGCCTGCCTCTGCCGCCGACGGACCCACAGCAATGCCAGAGGTGCCAGTCATACCTTCCTTATGTGCCGACGCGACGTGGCTCAACATCAACTTCGCCCCTGCTGTCCTCGACGCCGGCACACACTATCTCGATGCGACGTCTGAGGCAACACTCAGCTTCCTGTGCGACCTGCGCAAGAACCTTTCTTCCTCAGTGAGAGCCCCAGAGGCCGTTGCTGACCGTCCCCCCTCCGACTCCCCTCCGTCATCCCCTTCAGCAGCTGTGCAGCCGCCAGCTAGAGACAAGGACGCCGATGGCGTGCTGCTGGAGCCACCCACCCCCGTCCCAACGGTTTCTGACCGATCTGCCGGTGCCGTGCAGGACTCGGGAGTGTCAGCCCCTACCATCTCGCGACGACAGATCGGCCGTGCTCTTGCACGGGGCATCCAGGCTTCTCGCGCCAACGTGCCTCCATCCCCCCCTGCTGCCCGCGCTGCCGCTGACCCTCCGACCAAGGGACATCTGAAAGAAGGGGGGCTGATGGTTCTCAAGGGGGCTGCGGCCTTCGCCGGTGCAGCCGGCATTGCAGCTACTGGAGGGCTGGATGCGTTGGGGGGCTTCAAGATGCTGGTGGAGGGCAGGGGAAGAGGCGACGCGAGGGACGAAGGCGGAAGCGAGGAGAGTCCTCCGTGGGCACTGCCTCAGCCCAGCCCTTTACTCAATGCACGCAATCCGCAGTAGGGGCCACACACACTCGTAACGCGATGCATGTGGATCATCTGACCTGTGTGCAGTGACGACAACCGTGAAGAAGGTTTCTCTTTAGAGCGCATTCTCATGACATCCCTCGATGCGACGCTTGGCGGCATTCTGGGCCACAGGGACGACAAGCAAGAAGGGCAGGACACAGTGGACCGTCGCTCGTCGGTTGGCCAGATTGCCGCGAGAGGTTCAGTCGGATCGCGACCTTCGACTGTCGCAGCTCATCTGCCAATCGCAGGGTACAACAATTAGACGATCTTTGTGATCAATCTGAGAGGCTGCTTCTGTCTTTGATTGATTGATTGATTGTCAGCCTTCCCTTTCACAAGCTGCTGCAGCCTTACGGGGGAGGAGCCGAGAGACACTCACACATACGGCCCACAATGTAAGTCTGAAAAATACACATCCTTCTCATCTTTGTCTCTCTTTGCTTCGGCAGATGGAACCTCACGGGGCAGCCGATTGGTGTGCGCATCACTCTCAAGTCCGCCGCTCGCTCACACCCCACCCGATCCGTTGAGACGGGCGACACTGCTGCCGGTGCATCGACGGCATCATACCTGGACCGCCTTGACGGTTTCACAGTGGAACGGAAGCGATCGAACGTGATCGTGTGGAACGAGTGGCGGAAAGTGGAGGCGGGCGGGCGCCTAGTGTTGCCACGAGACGATGACGAGGTCAGGACGAAAGTCAGCACAAGATAGACACAAGCAAATGCAGCTGTGATGGATGCATGTGTTAGAGCTTGACGTTGCCGATTGTGGTCCGCGTTCGTCTTGTGGACACCCTGTATGAGCTATCAAACTTCACGCTCAACTCAGCTCACCTGGAGGTGCGGCCGCTCCCGCTCGCAGCTCGACGGGCGAAGCGATCAGTCACACTGACGATGAAAGACGGAACGAAGAAGAGTGCCGCGAGTACGAGGGTGAACCTCCTCTGTCGGACGACGCTGGCAGGCTCGAATGCCTTTCACCTTCACCTGTCGTCTCTGGTGGTGTTGCGAAACTCGTCAAGCCGGCATCTCAAGGTGCTGCCGCACCCGGACGTCGCGTCTTACTCGCCTGTGGCGCCTCCGATGCCTGCCGCTGGCCGGCCGTCGGTCCCCCCATCGCCGGCTCACTCGACGAGCATACTGATCTCCCACTTCCAGGGATCGACCGTTCTCTCTGATCGACGGCCCCATCACGGCGCGTCGCAGATAGACGCAGACCAAGAGGAGGACAACATCATGTGGCAGCCAATTACACGGACGAATGTGCGGTTGGGCACCGTCCTTCCTCCCATCAACCCTCAGCAGACCGCTCAGCCATCCGTCACGACACCCAAGACGGAGGCGCCCGCCAAGGCGAAAGGCAAAGGACGGGGCCTGACGCTTGATGTCAGCTCGCCATCTGCGTCAGTAGATGACGGCATACCAGCTTTTGAAGCCGATCGCGCAATCAGCATCGAGCGAGTCACGTCGGCAGGCACCGCAGACATCATGAGCCCCGGCCGCACATTCATCCCGTCGAGTCGTCGTTCGAGTCTCGTCTTGGATCTACCCGGTGATGAGGAGCTGGTGTGGCTCCCGCTTCATTGGCTGGTGCCCATCCCCATCCTCAACAAGCAGAGGGTCACAAGAGACGGTGTGTTGGGAGCGCGGAGGTCTCTCGGCTCGCCGAAGGGTGACGGAGACCTGAAGGAGAGCGAGACAGAGGGGAAGAGAGAGAGGAAGGCGCATGACATTGAGTCGGTGTGGGCAATTGCAGCCGCAGCAGATCAGGATACAAAGCACTTCCACGAGGTGGAGAGCTTCAGACAGGTGAGGAACAGTTCGGTGGCGACCTGCGTCGCCGCGCATCCATGTCTCTGTCTCATCTGTCGTCAGTTCTTTGCCTTTGCGATGGTCCAAGGCAAGGAGGTACTGCCACGAGAGGTGCTGCGGAAGATGGCAGACTACAAAGGCCCCTCTCCGCGCGATTTTGGGTTCAAGGCAAGACTGCTTGATCTGCCCTTTGTGGACATCTCGTTGCTGGACCAGGACATAACGCGAGGGAGACGAAGGCAGACGCACACCTCTGCAAGGCTCAAAGGGCGAGTGCAGTTCCGTCATCGCGCCTCGCTGATCGAGCCTCAGGCCTCAGTAGACGACGACGCTGCTCCTGCCTTCATCCAGCCACCAAGCCGCCGTAGTAAGGCCGGGTTGATGCAGCTCGCCTGCTCTGTAAGTGCCAGATCGCCAAGCTTTGGGCAGGTGCCACTTTTCTTCGAGATCCACATAGCGCCGGCACTCAAGGTCAGTGAGCAGCCATAGACATCTGGTCATGCCTTCGATCTCTGCGTTGCCTCGCTCAGCTGTGCAATCGGCTGCCGCAGTCTCTAGAGGTCTGTTTGCCGTCAGGGGAGCAACATGCCATCGACGCTGGCGACGACTTCTACGTGGAGGCGGCGCCGCCCCTCATCAGCTTTATCACCGGCAAGTACCGATCCAGCAACGTCCAGCTCGAGTACAAATCATCTCACGCGGCGGGTCCGTCAATCAGCAAACGACGCCCGCGTGACATAGCCGACGCAGAGAGAAGCCGCACGGAGCCTCTCGTGTTCCGCCACGCGAAGGATGACGGAGACACGGTCGAAATGGCGTGTGAGATCGCTCCAGCTATTGCTGAATCCAAGTTCGACGGCAAGGATGGCAAAGGGGGCAAGGGAGGCGGCGTGGAGTACGGAGCGCACTCAGGCGACCTGTCGGCCTACTCGGTGTTCCACTGGGACACCTGCCAAAGGTCCATTAAGGTCTTCTCGCCCCACTGGATCGTCAACCGGCAGAGTGTCGATGTGCGCGTCGGGACTAAGAAGAAGAGTCAGCGGATCCCGTCCAAGACGCGAAGAATACTCTGTGCCACGATCGGTCCAAAGGTCCGTGTCGGCCTGACAATCGAAGCCGACATGTCCCAGGGCTTCTCCATCGATGCTGTTGGGGCGTCCGGCCAGCTCGTGATCCCCCGGACCAAGGACCAGATAGCGATCTGGCTCGGCATGCGCGTCAAGCTGGCGCCTCCGCCTTTCTTCCGCACCAAGGTGGTCGACCTCTTCGCGCGATTCACGTTGGTCAACGAGATGAGCGAGAGCCTGTGGTTCAAGGAGGCGGGTAGTGGCAAGCCTGTGCGTCTCACGGCCCACCAGATGATGGTCCTGCATCCACAACAGCCAATCTCTCGCGCCGGCCCGCAGCTGCTGATCTCACTAGTCGACCCGGAGAACCCTATCGCGTCTCCCTGGACGCCGAGAGGCATGAACCTCCGCAAGGGGTCCACTCACAGGATGCGATCGCCGTCCCTCATCATGCTGATGATGGCCGAAAAAGGCCAGAAGGGCCTCAAAGAAGAGACCTTCTACTCGTCAGAGTTCCCCATCTCTGAGCGAGCGAGCTTCCAGGTCCGTCACATGATGAAGGCGAATCAGCCTGCGGGACGCAAGAAGAAGGGCAGTGTGCTGGTGCGACTGCCGGAGGGAGAGGTCATGACACAGCTGTATACCATCACACAAGTGGAGGTGCAGGTCTTGGAGTCGGCTGCCATCTTTGTCAGGTACATCCATGCACCAACTTCGAGTGCACGTTTCTTTTGCATTGATGAGGACGTGTATGTGTACATGTGTTCAGATTCAGCAAGCCACGCATCCCCGAGTTCAAGCTCTTCAACAACTCGCCATATAAAATCCAATTCGCACATGCAAGACTGCATCGTTCCGCAGCGATTCCATGCGACATGTTTCCCGTTGTGTCCCTGTCAGATGGGTGCTCGTGTGGCCGATGCAATTGAATTGCTGCTTCCCGATTCACGCGTTGATTACGCCTGGCACGACCCACAAAGCTTGAGGAAGCTGCTCAAGATCACAGTTGAGGTCCCCACACATCACGTCGGTGATCGCTCATTTGCCCTGGTCAGGGAAATGACACGCTCACGGAGGGGGTTGGCGGCACTGATGGGAGACGCAGTCGCACAGGCGGGGGAGAGGAGGAGGGCATCGGCTGAGGTGCGGCCCGAGACGTATCCCACCACTCTGGCGATCAGCAAGATCAACACCATCACCAAGCTGGCTATCGGACAGGACAAGTGAGCGGGCACTGACAATCGGATGCGCACACACATGGAGCGGAGACACAAGCGACAATCGCCATTTCTCCTGCAGGCTATACATCATGACCTATGTCCGTGAAGGTACTCGCATTGTCGAGTTCACCGACTCATCGCGATATCATCAACGGTCCCATCTTGTGCGCCAGTCAGCCACAACCCGCAGCCTCGGCAACTCGCGAGCCATCACTTCCATCAACGACGCTGTCGGCGATTCCCCTTCACAGAAGACGGCAACGCCTGGCGGCCGCTCGCTCGCCACTGGCGGCGTTGACCTGCCGCCGCTGCTGAGTGCCCGGCAGGTCGAGCCCAACCCCGCCTTCGCGTTTGTGGCTCGGTATTGGTACGGCCACCTGCACACTCTCGAGGGAGACGAGGACGACGAGAATGATGAGGAGGAGTACTTCTCTGACGCATGGGATGACCTGGAGGAAGACCAGTCCCTCGTCGATCTCGAGAAGGGTGCAGAGGATGCGTCCACACAATGGGGAGAGACGGCGATTGTCTCGCCACGAAGCGGCGAAGTCGCAAGTCGTTCCAGCTCCCGATCCCAGGCCCCTCTGCCCCCCGCGCCCTCACAGAAGAAGATGTCCAGCGAGTCGAGGCGGCCCAGCCGCCGAGGCCTCAGCGGCAACCTCAGCGACACCAGTAGAGGTCCCAGCCACAGGAGGGACACGGCAAGGGCCCGCAAAAGGAGCATAAAGCGCAGCTACACGACGAGGGACGGCAGCAAATCTCCATCCCGGCTGTCTCGGCTGATGGCTGGTCGGCTGCGGTCGCCCAGTCGGCGTGACGACACGAGGGAGACGGAGGCAGACCTACTGTCACGAGGGAGCAGGAACCTACTGGCCCGGCCATCAACAGAAGGCGAGACAGACATGGAGACAGAGCAATCCCAGCGGCCCACTGTGTGGGACTCGTTCGAGATTGAGTGTCGACTGAGGGGCATCGGCATATCCCTCAACGAAGAGTCTCCACGAGAGCTGGCATACGCTGCGGCGACAGGAGTGGAGCTATACGTGGTACGCAAGGGCAAGCGGGACGGCACGGCATGGCGGGCATCGGTAGACAGCATCCAGATCGACAATCGCGTCCGTAATGCCTACTTTCCCTCATTCCTGCGCCCATACATGGAGCAAACGGTGTCCAGCAGCCTGTTCTGGGGTGGACAGGCCCCGACCGCGCCATTGCGGCAGACGTCTATGGGCAGCAACAGAGAGGGCAGCTTCTTGGCCAAGAGAGAGGCTGAGGATGGAGCAGATGGGGGGCCCCTCCTGTCGATGGAGTGGGGCGTCAGCGCGGAGAGCAGGTCCATGTTCCTGTCGAAGGGCAAAGACCACAACTCGGCCCTCATCCTGCGCTACGCCAACTGCAGCCTCAAGCCACTGGCCATTAACGTCGAGCAGGACGCTGTCTTGGGTCTGCTCAGCTTCTTCCTGGGTCTGACAAAGAAGTTCAACATCCCCTACGTGCGCACGCAGACGATTCTGAGGGTTCGCCAGAGCCAAATCGATGGAGACAGCTCCAAAGGACCTCCGAGGAGCGAGGCATTCAGGCAACTGATCGAGGCGCCGAGCCCGCCTACCTCGTCTCCGTTGTCGCGGTATCTGTACATCCAAACCTTGTTCATCGATCCCATCCTGGTGGTGCTATCGATCAGAAACTCACGGTATGCAGTCGTTCGTGACAACAAAAGACAAGCCACCAAAGGCTAATACCCCTCTCTATATGCCTATGTATGTCAGAGTCAGCACAGTCGACAGCGGCCGCGACTGGCAATTCATCCGCTACTTCGAGCTCATGTCAGGCCGCCTCACCGATCTGAGCCAATCGCCCCTTTACTTTCGTGAGGTGCAGAAGGAGCAGGTCTACGTCACCACCAGCGACCTCATCCAGGACCTGTCGTCCACATACGGCACACAGGGGTGGCGCCAGTTCACTCGCGTCCTCGGCTCCATCGACCTGATCGGCAATCCGCTGGGCCTCATGATCCGCATATTGCAGGGGCTCTTCGACCTCGTCAAAGAGCCCTACGAGGGCATTCTTAAGGGCCCAGAGCAGTTCATCGGCGGCCTTGGAAGAGGACTCAAGGCCCTTATCGTCGCCATAATCGCTGGCCTGTTCGATTCCTTCTCGCGCATCACTCGCTCGCTCTACAAGGTCCTCGACCGTGCAGTCAACATGGACAAGACCCTGTCCGTCGTCCCGAGACGGTTCCGCATCAGCCAGGTGGCGATCGAGCAGCCGGAAAATGTCGCGGATGGCGTCTTGCGGGCCGTGCAGGGGCTGCTGCAGTGTCTCGTAGCTGCGTTCCTCAGTCTGGTCGTGATACCTTACAAGCGAGTAGTCCGACCGCAGGGTGGCAGTGTTGTCCACCTGCCCATGGGCGTGGTCAAGGGCTTTGGGCGCTTCTGTGTGGCGATACTCGGTGGCATTCTGCTGTTCTTACAAGGTGTCTCGGCAGGAGTGAGGAACTCACTCTCCAACACCAAAGACGCATCAGGTTACAGCCGTCCTGTGCGGACGTACGGCACCGGGAGACGTCTTGGTCAATACGGATTGTATGAAGGTCAGGCAGTGGACAGCCTCGCATCGGCCCTTCAAGGTCACATAACCGTCAGCATCCTCTACGCGCTTCCCCTCCCCCTTCTCCCCCAGCCTCCCGTCGCATCCACATTGCCTCTGCCCTCCGCCGCCCTGCCTTGGTACAGCCCCGATCAGAACCTTAAGGGCACAACCAAGGGCTTGCTCGTCATCACTTCGCGGCACTTCTTCGCCTTCCAGAACGACCGATTTGCGTGGGTCTGCCCGAGAGGCGACGTGGTGCGAATTGAAATGCTCGCGCACCGACCGAGGGATGCCAGCTGGCGGATCGGCAAAAGGAGGGGGCTCAGCCTCTTGAGGGACGATGATGATTCATTCTCCGAGGGGTCGGTCAGGGGACAAGAGGCGCCCGTGACACTGAGACTCGTGGTCCACAACTCGCAAGAGATGCCCGCCCGCCTTTTCAAGAACATCAAGCGCTTCTTCGCCAGCCAGGTGGAGCAGACAGAGATCGCAGTCCACAAGCTGCACTCGAGGAGGGCCAGCTTCTTCCGCACCATGACGACCGCCATAAAACCCCGTCGCAGGCGACACCGATCGGCGACATTTACCAATTCTTACGACGATTACGTCTCGTTCGGACACACAGACCCACGCCGGTCTGCCGGTTCCTCTGATGCCCAGCAGCCAATGCCGCAGCACCCCTTCTTTGCAGGCGGTCGCGCGTCGGCCTGGACTCGTGGATGGAGCGGCACCGACATCGACACGATCGGCGCCCCATCCCCCGGCCGCAACTTCCTCAACAACTACGGCTTCCCAGCGCACCTCTCAGACGGTGACCAGTCCAGTGGCAGCGACCACCGGAGCGAAAGCGGGTCACCCACTGAGAGCAGCTTAGTGTCAGGGGTGGCGATCGACATTCTGCCGAGGAAGAGCAAGTCGTTTGGTGGCGAGGGGCTGCTGGATCGGAGGGGCCAGGGGCTACTGTCGGCGCTGACCAAGTCCTTCAGGACCATGACGCGGGTCGCGTCCGCTGGGACGGCAGGGAGGGACATTGGGGAGGTCAAAGTGCCGTCGAGAGCTGTCATCATACCTCCAAAGCGAGTAGGCAACGGACACAAAAGACATGTCTCAGTCATGCTCATGTACCCTCATGTATTTCGCTCGCAGCGCACCAAATGGCAGCGGTCCTTTGCCACTTGTATTTGGTCCCTCAACAGACTGTGCCGCTCTCTGATCCGCCACTGCCGGAACTACCTCTGCTGCGCGCGCCGCCGACGTCTCAGAGGCCGGCCCGCACTGGACACGGGACATATAGATATGGCACCCCAGAGCGCACACACGAGACACGGCAGGAGGACTTCAAGGCTCCCAGGTGGCCCCCAACACCCTCTGTACATCGACCTCCGCCTGACACTGCCGGACGCCGCGAGCGCCTTGGTTCTCTTCGACGTGCTGTCATTTTTTGTGGTTTCCAGTCGACACTTCCACCGCCACTCGGAAAGAGGCCCCGAGGTCTCCGAGGTGGCGGGAGGAGACAGGAGGGATGGCGGCCAGGATCGCACAAATGTCAATGTTGGATTCACTTCGGCTTCTACGTGGGTGGCTGCACCAGACGGCACTCTGCGAGACGCGGGCGAAGAGAGGGAGACGCGCCGGGGAGGGCCGGGGGAGAGAGACAGGGAAAGAGATGCGGATGGTGCGGAGGACACGCAAAGCACATCCGTTAAGATGAGCAGGACGTTTGGACGATCCATGACGGGCAACCTCGCTTGAAGTGTGTACAGAGGTGGGTGAGGATGCCTTTCGTCCGATGAACCCACCCTGTTTCTGTCATGGCTTTCTGCTTTTTTGTCGGCAACAATTAGATGTGGCTATCGCATGTAAGCGTCAGCGGCTTGCTGGCCTGAATGGTCGGTGCCCTGTAGTTTTTTTTTACGCAGCTAGCTGGATCGCTGCTCTGTGCTGTATATGTAGCTTCTAGAGCTCGTAGGGGATGCTATGAGACTTCAATGTGCGTCCATTTGACTGATTTGTCACCCCACTCTTTTCTTGCAGGCATCTAAAAACTGTGTCCATGGACCAAACTGTACAAAGGGAATCAAAGAGGGCCATCCATGTTTGAGAAACTACCGCCACCCATGCCTTTCGCACAGCCCCGCCTTCCCGCCCTTCTCTAAACAAGTCTATCCGACTATCGGCATGGGGGTCATCATCATGGTGCTGGTCGTCGTGTTTTCCACCAGCATGTCGTCGCCCTTGAACTTGGGGATGATGAGTGACGGTTCATAAAGGTACGACCACAGCGTAGCCACCAGCAGCCCCAGACCGTACAGGGCCTGTGTGAAATATTGAGCCACAACATCCATTGTTGTTGCTATCACGACTTTTCTCGTACCAGCATGGCCATGTAGAGGCCGAAGGATGCCGACAGAAGTGGCAGCATGGCATTGATGAGACCACAGACGCCGGCCAGCTTGTAGCACGTAGCGATGGTCCATGCGAGGGGCATACCGGTGGTGTCGGGGCAGTTCCACTCGAGAAGGAAGAACGACACCCCATATATGATGACCGAGACCGACCGAATCACCTGAACATATCACACGCACAGCCGCAGAGGAAGACCAACCAACATATGTATGTGTTCGCTCATTCGCCCGCTCACAAATGCAGTGAAGTAGGCGGTGTACACCTCCCCGCTTGAGAGAAATAGCTGCATCAGCTCCTTATCCGCCTCGCCGCCGGCGAACTTCACGATGGTGCCCCAGAACACCAAGGCACCGGTCGTTGCGAGCAGGTCCAGCGTGACGGCATAGCCAAGCAGTTTGCCGCCCTGCACATCAAATACACCATCACACATACAGCAGCAGCAAAGCGGTGTCATGCACCATCACTGATTCATCCGCACCGCTGCCATGCCCTTGTTGGCTTTCTCTCCGGTGTGCAGGTAGGCTTGGAAGGCCGCCAGGAAGATGGCTCCACCCAACATGACCAACAATATCACCAACACCGGAGCGCGAAGATCTGCATCGTTTTACACAGAAATGAGATGTCGAATGCATCCCTTTGCCTGCCATGTGTGTGACTGAAGTTACCGACGGCGCGCTCCACGGCTTCCTCCACGGCATCGGTGAAGTCGCTGACAAGCACAGTGCAAAGAAGCGGCGGAGGGATGCTGAGATCTATGCGTTGACGTGATCTCTTGTGTTTTCTTGTCCATGCGCCCATGCCTGGAGCTGTAGCTCTTCTGGACGAACGCGGAGAGTCCTTGGATGAATTTGTGGCCTCGCAGCGGCCAGACGATGGTATTGAACAGGAGGAAGGCCAGCAGCTGCAGCGACAGGCCGATGCGCAGGGTGAAAGGCCTCACGTCCATTATCACGGCCAGTGTCGGAAGCTCAATGTTTTTCTTGGGGACAACAGGGGCTGGAGAGTGACGGATTCCTCGATGCGGGGCAGGCACCGGGGAGCGAACGAGCGAACGCTTGGAGATGTAAACGTCCGAAACAGTAAGCAATAATGGAAGCGACGATGTCGAGTCAGCCCAGCGACGCACCGGGACCCCCCGAGGATGACCGTGTTACTTCAGCCCGCCTCCCCTCTATATTCTGCGCGCGGGCGCTCCTGGCGTCCCTCCTGGTGATCCTCTGCGTGCTGCTGGGCCTGGTTCCAACACGAGCAGCCTGCGGCAACGAAAACAATAGCAAGAGAAAATGGGGCTCTTTCGAATACGTCAACCCGCGGCCAAACGCCATGCTGGTGTCGGCCTTCACCACAATAGCGGTGAGGCGGGGGAGCCTGATCCAGACGCCACTCGGCCCTGCATCGTACTATTTTGAAGTGACGGGATCCAAGAGCGGCAAACACCATCACAAGGGGGAGCTGAGGGTGGGGGATGACCAGAAGACTGTGCTGTTCCGGCCGAGGGACCCCTTCGTGCCTGGAGAGAAGGTGTACGTCAAGGTGCTCAAGGGCCTGACAGCTTTGGAGGATGGCCGTTCCAGGGTGCTGGATGAGTACGAGTGGTCATTTTACATATCTCGGATGCCTATCAAGGAGTACTGGATCAAGAAGATGGAGCAAGGATACGACCTGCACGACTATGACCACGACTTCGATAGGCAGCTGGTGCACCATGAGGATGCCGATGGGGATGATGGAGTGGAGGAGGAGACCACGTCGAGGGCCCTCGCGGACGAGGCGAACGATGACCTCACTTACATCGCACCTGACCCGTCTTATCGCACCCTGCCTGCCGACTTCCCTAAGATCGCTGTCACCTTCCCCGCCTCCGAGTCGACAGGGAAAGATGACCTCATCTTTGTGGGGACCCTCTTCATGCGCACCAACAAGGAGCCGGACAAGAAATATGTGGGCTACGGGCTGATTCTGGACGAGACGGGCGACCCCGTCTTCTACAAGCCATTCGGCACCAACGAGAAAATCGTGGATTGGCGGGTGAACAGGGACGGCCACATCACTTACGTCGGGGTGCCGTGGTCATACTATATCGGCCTTGACAGGTTCTATGAGCCGACGAAGAGGTATCAGGCCCAACATGGGTACAAGATCAACTCACACGGCATAGAGGCGTTCGCCAACGGCAGCTTCGTGTGCGTCATATACGACGAGCAGCCCGTCGATATGACGCGATACGACACAAAGCACGGCAAGAAGGACACCAAAGTCGTCGGTAAGCGGCTGTGCGATCGATGCGCTCGTTGTGGATATATACTCCTCATTCTCCTTCCTGATTGATGAATGGCCATCCATGTGCATCATCAGGCAGTATTGTTCAAGAGGTCGACGGTTCGGGCAACGTGCTGAACGAGTGGCGGTCTTGGGACGCCTTCCCCCTTCCCCGCCTCGTCGCAGAGAGCACCTCCAACGTATCGGAGCGATACAACCGCTTCGACGCCCTGCACGTCAACTCCATCGACTTCATGCCCGACCACACAGGCGACATCCTCCTCTCATTCAGACACAGAGACGAGCTCATCCGGGTCGACCGATCCACAATGGACGTCTGCTGGCGGCTGGGAGGCGTCCATGGCGATTTCGCTTTCGACAGGGAGGACATCGACTACGATGGCCGGCCTTTCAGGCACCAGCACGACGCGCGTGTGCACCCGCCGACTGCGCATCACGTGAGGAGGACGGCCAACCGGACGATCGACAGCACGGCATCCTTCCACGTGACGATGTTCGACAACGGCAACAAGAAGAGCAGATACCATAGAGTGCATCGGATGCTCATACCCAAGTACAGCAGGGCCGTCGAGTACGCCGTCGACGAGACAAATCGTGTGGCGCACAAAGTGTGGGAGTACAGACATGACCCGGTGCGCGTGACACGCGCGGATACAGAAACTCTTCACCTGCACAGCATAGGTGTATGTCTCGTGTGTCATCAGGACTACTACGGCATTGCCACGGGCAGTGTACAGCGGCGAGACAACGGCAACACGGTCATCAATTGGGGCGGCCTGGGCATCTACCCGACGCTCCCCTTCCTCACCGAGCTCGACGGCCACCGCAACGAGGTCCTCCTGCAGATGGCCTTCAAGGAGGACTATGGCGCATATCGCGTCACGCGGCAGCCGTGGTGGGGCCGGTCGAAGCAGCCCCCAACCGTGGTTCTCAACCGCGACGTGCCCTTTCCCTATCAGCTGCACGTGAGCTACAACGGCGTCACCAATGTGGTGTCGTGGGAGGTCTTCCGATCGACGGCAGCAGACGGCAGTGACGAGGGAAAGATTATCGAGGTGCCCAAGACACGGTTCGAGACGATTATGCCCCTGCCGGTGGTGATGTCTGAGTGTGTGTGGTACCGTGTGAGGGCCAGGGCGGGGCCCATCGACGCCGGCACGACAGTGCCGCAGCCCAGCATCATGTCTGAAAAAGTCTTCGGCGGAGCGACGGGAAGGGAAGAGGCCTGCTCATGACACGCCGACAGGGCCGGCGGCCATACACATGTTTCTTTCGGTTCGGCAACATTGTGTCAGTGAGTGCATGGCGTCGTGTGTTGTGTGTAGAGAGATGCATCCATCACATGTGTCTGTGAGAGTGTGGAATTCATGAAGTGCGGTAGACAGATGGGGTGCGTGTGTGAGTGTAGAGCTTGTCGGTCGGTGTGGCCCATCTCATTGATCAGCTTGTGCGTGCCTGTACAGACCTTATTTGTCTCTCATCACCATTAATGCCGTTAAGCGATTCAACGACGTCCACGCACAAATCGCACTCGAGCAGGCAGAAGAATAATAATGAGTGCATTGCAATGCATTGAGTTCCAGGCGGACACCACATCACTCTGCGTGTAGGTGCACAATTGCTATGTATAGCTCGTGAGCCTCGGCTCGGCATCCAGCAGTGGAAAAAACACACACACCAGGCAGCACAGCAGGCGCAACGAAGTCATCTCTGTGTGTGTCTGCAGATCCATCCGCACACAAGTGGGGGCAGGGCAGCCCCTTCAATCCATCAATCAATCAATAAAGCGATAACGAAGCGCGTGTACCACACGCGGTAAACACATACATACAAGGGAACAAGGAACTCACTTGAAGGACCACACCATAAAACGGCCCACCCATAAGACCAAGGGGACACACACGACCACATCCCGCCACCCTCCCTACTATCAGGGATCGATAAAGCCACCTTCCCACTAACGCGCCCCGACGGTGTGGTAATCAGCCCCGAAAAAAGAGGACCAACTAAACCACCGCCCGCCCGCCCATGGGCCGGGCCGGCTCACCACACCTGACAGTCCTCCTGCCTGGCTCGTCGGTTGACCACTGAGTCAGCGGGGCAGTCAAACGCCGCGGCGAACTCTGGCATGTTAGAGATGGGCCCCAGCGAGCGGAACCGACCGGGAGAGTGAACCGCAGTCCCGAGTTGACTGAATGCCAGCCAGATGCACACACAAACCACGCACAGGCATGCTCCTTGTGTGTCCATCCATGCTCCTTGGCTGCACTGCACTGCTCACCTTCTCTCCGTTTTGGGCCTGGTGACCTCACACCAGTCCTGCCCCCATCCGACGAAAAAGAGCTGCTCGACAGTCAGGTCCACCCCCTCCAGCGGCCGTGTCTGCATCTCCTCCTCAGTCAGATCGTTGCTGAGCGCCCTGAATGCCAGCTTGATGCCACCCATGTCGGCTATGTTCTCGCCCATGCTCAGGCGGCCGTTGAGTGTCATGTTTTGCGTGAGGCCGGGCAGGTCGGCGGGGGTCAGCGCCACGTAGCTGGAGTACTGAGCGTCCACACACGTGGCGCTCTGGTTGAAGGCCGACTTGCTGTCCTCGCTCCACCAATTCCGCAGCTTGGCGTCGGCGTCATATTGGCTTCCTGCGTCGTCGAAGCCGTGAGTGAGTTCGTGACCCATAATGCCGCCAAGAGCAGCGTAGTTCAACACCTGCATCACGCCCCACACACGCGACAATGAGCACGTGCCTGTACACGTCTGTCTTCCTCTACTGACCTTCTTGGCGAGTATCTCATTTTCTGGATCATCTTCGTCGAATACGTGGAATTTTGGCGGCGCGATGATGCCGGCGAGGAAAACCATTTCATTGTAGTATGGGTGATAATAGGCATTGACGTCTGTGGGCGTCCGATACCACACCTCCTCGTCCCTCTCACGACCATGAAACGATGCCGCATACTTGATCTGGACGGCCACACACACACACAGGGGCACACACCCACAAACACAGGCACACCAATGCCTCACTCATCCATTCTCCCATCATTCATCATTCATGTGATATGATTGGTTTACCCCCTGTCTCTTGAGGTAGAAGGACATGTTGAAGAAGCTCACGTCGAGGGCCGTGACTGCGTCCTCCGGGCCGTACATGTCGGCCAGTCGCCACGAGTAGTTGGCCGAAAGCACCCATTCGGGATAGGCAATTCTGTCGGCCATCTTGTCGAGCTTCTCAAACGCCACAATCCTGCGCGGATGTATTCCAAACATACGCACGATGACACATTGTGCACAGCGTCACTCTCTCTCCCTCCCTCCCTCCCTCCCTCTCTCTCTGTCTTCCTGTGTGTGTCTGTGTGTGTGAGTGGATACTTGGTGTCGTTGCTCATCCACGTGCTCTCCTCAAGCACCTCGGCGAACTCTGTCCTGACGTTGGCCAGCATCTCTTCGGCAATCACCTGAAAACATGGCAGCAATCCTGCCTGCACGCCACTCCCTTCGGAACTCACCTTGCCCCGTGGGTCGAAGTCCTTTAGTATGGTGTGTGTGACGACCCAGCTGAGCAGCGAACGCGCCGCCGCCCTTTGACATTCATCCCACCTCTCCTTGGGCTCAACACCTAACACCTCGCGATTGAACGTGTCACGCAGGTCAGTCCACTCACGGCTCAAAAGACCAGCACCACTGACAGCCCAACAGACACACACAGACGGAGGAATACACACACCACACCCTCTGCGTGTGCGCCTGAGGGCTGTGGCCGCTCATTCGCTTACGCCACGAACAGTCGCGATTGGAAGTAGGCGAGCAGTGACTTGTCATCCCACTCTTCTGTGATCAGTCGCCCCAGCTCCCGAAAGTAGTCACGGTGATGAATGACGATCTCGGTTTCATTGGTGACCGTCTGGTTGGCAGGGCCGACCTCAGCCTCTGCACACGTTTCACATTCACAGACACCATCATATACATGGATGTATCTGCTTGCTTCCTTCCTTCTTCCTGTCTGGTGCGCTCACTCACTCAAGACTTGCAGGAATCGGTCCCAGTCGATGTTGGGCGCCAGCTCCTTGACCTCCTGCAGAGTGACCTGATTCGTGACCTTGACGGGGTCCCTCTCCTCCACAGGAGTCAGGAATATGTCCTGCAAGGCCTGCTCGATGGCAAGTGACGCATTGGCGGCCTCGGCTGGCGATAGACGGCCATCGGACGATGCGCCACGCAGCGAGGATGTAGAGGGAATGGCCTCTTGAAAGAGCTCATGGGCGGCTGTCATGAAGGTGAGGTAGGACGCGATCGTGTCGTTCTCGTCGTACTCCGTGTACTTGAGATTCAGCCCGCTCTGAGAGGCGCGAGGACGAAACGGTGATAGGCGTGAATGCATCCGTCGGAGCATTTGACTAGGTGATGCGTACCTGGTACAAGAAGAGGACTGATCTGGGATCTGACGTTATCGGATTCTGCTCGACGGTAACTTCGAATGTGGATTTGACGCCCCAAGCGTGCAGCTTTGCCAGCATCTCAACAGCCACACTGCCCCTCTCTGAATCACATGTACAACACATACACACACACACACAATGATATACGCTCCTGATGCGCTCGTCCGTCTTGTCTGTCTGTCTGTCTGTCTGTCTGCCTACCTGCCTGTCAGTCAGTCAGTCTGTCTGTCTGTCTACCTGTCTGTCTGTCTGTCCGTCTGTCTGTGTGTCTCACCTCGCGGCGTCATGTCTGCCCATCCGTCTATCGATGGCTGCAGCACGAAGGGCAATTCTGAGTCAAGGAAGTCGAGCATCGGCTGCGTGCCCAGCTCGTCCAGCGTATCACGATCCATGCAGGCCTGACACAAAGCAAGAGCGGACCAAATGAAAACTGACTGTGTGTGTCGCTCCGTGCTTGGTCGACTGACCTGGAACCAGCAGAAGAGAAGGACTTCCCATCCATCCGCGGGCGCCCTCGTGCGGTTGCCCTGGTCCGGCAGCGATGGGCAAATTCCGCTCTCCAACACCTCACGAATCATGTATCTGCGATGGGCATGAGAGAGGCGATCCTCAACAGTACGGACGAATGGAATAACGTGCCTGCCCATCAGCAGGTCTACTCACCTGGTATCATTTCGAATGCCGTGGAACGACTTGTACCACCGGCCCTCCTCAGGAGGCATCTCGAACGTCGTCTCCCATCCTCCACACGCAAATGTGTCAGGATCCTGAACACACACCCACACAGACACCCATCCACACACACATACACACACACGGACACACATACGTGTCGCCAGGATGTCATGGTTGGCTTCCTGCGTATGAGTGCATGTGTACGTACGTTGCATGGGTCAGCAGACGTGTTCATGGCGGCCAAGACGTCCCTGGCGAGGGTCGACATGGATCCATCAATCTCCCCTTCCTCGGGAGGCAAAGTCCCGTATTCGACCTGAAAGATCCGGCGCACAGCAGACAAACAACAGGCAAGATCTTGGCTGTAGGGTGCGTCCAAGGTGTGTGGGTGATCACCTGTGAGAGGCATAAGTGCAAGATGAAAGCACAGCACACCAACAGGAGCCTCAGGCTCTTCATCGTGAACAGTGGCGGAAGATGGTGAAATGATGAATGTCGGACTCACAGATCAGACACCTGCTTCCAAAACCCTCTGCGACGAGGCGCACCTGATCTTGACCCCCCGAAAGATTTGTCCCAGCGCATGGACACCGGACAATCTTACCCTTAACCACCACCACCATTTTCTGCACCTGCGAGCTCACAATCTCTGCGAGCTAAGATAGCATTCCAAGGCTGAGAACGACGTTGCCTGGTCCCCTCACGGTCCGGCACAAATTGAGCCAACACACAGAAGGATGGAGGTGGAAGAACAGCCAGTGCAGTCAAGTGAGGCCGCACCGCGGCCTCAGGTGGCGACCAAGGTACGATGCACTCATGGATTCATCCCTGTCCTTCCTGTTATATTCCCATTGTCTTGTATGCAGGCCCGCCCTGCTCCTGCCGCAGCAGGCCTGGTTGACCCGTATCATCTGGGGCTGCCTGACCTCAAACCTCTGTTTGCGGACCGCAAGAGCAGGCCTCAGGTGGAGACCTACTCGCCCGGCAGTGCAGGCAAGATCGGCTCCCCGCCATCCGCCCGGCTGTCGTCGCCACGCACCGTGAGGGAGAGGGTGGTGCTGCCCGAAGTGCCATCGGAGAGGAGGCCCGGAGAGAGACCTGAGAGCCTCAAGAGATCTGTCAAGCAAAGAGCACCTCCCAAAGGTCAGGAGGCGATTGCTTGGGGCACGTCGCATCCATCTGATCTTCTCCGAATCACGTGTCTGTCGATCAGCTGTGTGGGGCGAGGAGACACTTCAATCGCCAATGAAGCCCTCGCCGAGAAAGCCTGAGGATGACAGCCAGCAGTACAGCCAGCTGCTGGACGAGCTCACGGAGGCCCTCTACGCCCTCACACTCTGGACAGACAGACTGGGCAGCAGCGGGCCCACTGGCGAGGCGTACATGCAGAAGCAGCAGCAGTATGCGGCACAGATCGACAAGATCCTCGGCAAGCTGCAGAAGCTCTCACTGCCCAAGAAAGCCGACATGATTCACAAACAGAGCGTTTTGGATGCGCTGCATAAGTTCCACCAGCGTACCATGGAGTGGCAGAAGGAGCGAGAGGATTTGCGTGAGCGTGCTGCCTTCCTGGAGCAGGAGAAAGAGAGGGAGAAAGACAAGGTGCGGTCGCTCATTGGGGAAAGAGACGAGGCCGACCGCCAAGGCTCACTAATGGACACCCAACAGCCGCACCCGACCTCGGGAGAGGACTTCGCAACAGCAATGAAAGAAGTAGGAGGATACATAGGCCTGCAGAGACACCACACACAAGCGCAAGGAGTACCCTGTCTGTGTTGTCAGACGGGTGCCGGCGAGGAGGGTAAGGAGCAGTTAATGCTTCAGGTGCAGTATATGGAGAAGAAGATCCTCAAGCTAAGGGAGAAACTCAAGCGCCGCACGAGGGAAGTCGCCCTTCTGGCTGAACCGCCACCTCCTGGAAGCGACGTACGTAATGAGGATCGATGGCGATGGCCTTAGTTATGCATAATTCCTCTTGTCTATCTGCATTGCGTCACGTCTGTCCCATCAGCACGAGCATGTGGATTTGCTGTATGCGTCGCGCGAGGAGTTGGTCGCTGAAGTCGGGTGGCTGAGGGCAGAGCTGAACAGGTAGGCGGTGGGTAGGACAGGCAAAGCCGCTGTCACAGTGCCAATGCTTGTCCATTTGCTTGTTTATTTATGTCTCTGCCTGTTCCATAGGATACAGACGGATCTGCGCATCACTCGAGAGCGTCTTGAGAGGCAAAAGGTGGGGACTTTCGAGCCGGCTGACTGGCGTCGCCTTACTAATTCTGCCTTTGGTTGCTTCAGGCCCGATTTGAGAGCGAGGCACGGAGCTTGGAAGACCAGCTGAGGGACCAATCGCTGCTGGTCGAGGCTCAAGGCTCGATCGAGTCGCTGAAGAAGCGTTTGGTGGATGCACAGGCCCAAATGGCCTCACTCGAGGCGGAGAAAGAGGTCAGTGGAATGAGCAGACGGACACCTGCAATTCGCCGTAGCTTCGTGTACGCCGCCAGGCTGCCCTCGCGAGTGTCGAACTGGCAAACAAACTCAAGGCCAACGCTGAAGAGAGAATGAAAGAAGTAAGGAAGCAAGGAGGGAGGTGACTCACATATAGGCCGCACCCATCGTGCCTCTACAGATGATCTTTGCCAAAGAGAACGAGAGGGTGGAATTTCTGGCCGACCAGCGTGTTATGCAAAACCAAGTCGATGAGCTGCAGGTGGGCAATGGATCATTCGAAAGAACGTTTTCTCTCACGTGTTCTTTCTGTTCTTCGCAGCGTGAGCTCCAATTGTCAGAGAAGAAGCTCGAGGATCTCAACCAGGAAATAGGTCAGGCAAAGGAGCAACGCATACTCGACCTCGAGAAGGTACACAAACCAACAATGTCACATCCTTGCGGTGGAGATTTTCTCTGCCCCCTCCACCTTCCGTAGGAGCTGAGCGCCACCGAGCAGGCTTTGCAGGAGAAGGACACGGCCCTCGAGAGTCTCAAGGCGCTTCATGACCAGATCGAAGGCGAGCTTCAAGAGCAGCTGCAAGCTGCGAGGGATGAGGCAGCAGCAGCACAGGCGGCCCCCGCCCCTCTCCAGATAGCTGAGGAGCCCGCAGTCGAGCCACAGGAAGAGGAGGAGGCTGCGGAGCCACAACAGGAGCAGGCAGCGGAGCCACAACAGGAGCAGGCTGAAGCTCCAGGAGCGATAGCAGAGGAGGAGGCGAAAGGCGAGGCTGTCCCGGCTGAGGCTGAGGCTGATCGAGAGGCTGAAGGTGAGGAACAACCAGAAGAGTCAGCGGTTGAGGGCAAAGAAGAGAAAGAGGCCGAAGAGGTAGCGGAGGCAGCAGCAGAGCCCGCGGCGCCCAAAGCCGAGTTCAAACCCATGGAGACACAGACGTCCGGGCTGGCCATGGGAGAAGAGAAGGAGAAAGCCGCGCTGAAGCCCATGGAGACCCAGACATCAGGCACCTTGATGGACGAAACAAGGAGGGAGGGCCAAGTGATGGAGACACAAACGTCGGGCGAGCTGCCGTCAGAAGCCCCTCCTAAGGGTGAGCTCAAACCGATGGAGACACAGACATCTGGCCTGGCTATGAAGGACGAGGAGGTTGAAGAGGAAGGGGAGAAGGAGAAGGTCGAGCTGAAGGGCATGGAGACACAGACAGCCCTGCAAGAGGTCCAGCCCATGGAGACACAGACGTCGGGTGAGATCGTCATGAAGGGAGAAGAAGAGGAGGAGGAGGAAGGGAAGGTGGGAGCGGCCATGGAGACCCAGACATCACGACAGTGGCTCGAGGCCCAGAAGACCACACAGACCGAATACAACGCCACCGAAATGGCCGCACAGACAGGTAAGGTATCTCAGTCCATTTCTGCGTCCATTAATGTGTTCGCTGGATCTGTTGTCGGACAGATGTGCAGTCAGGGGAGGGGTCTTCTGCCGTCGCAGGGATGCCTCCACCAACACAACCAGCACCCCCTGCTGACGCAGACGCGCTGGAGAAAGAAGTGTACGAGCTGAAACAAGCACTGGACGCCACAAGCAAGGGTGAGTGAAGAGCGAGTGCAGATGTCGCTCGTGAGGTCTGATCTTCTGCTTGTAATTATCGTCTGGAATTCAGAGAAGCTGCGGTTGTCTGACGAGGCTGAGGCGCTGAAGAAGACACTGGAGAGCGCTCAGGACGTAATGGCATCAAGACTGAATGAGCTGCAAGAGGCACTGCAAAAGGCCGAGGTAAGTACGATACGCTTCCTTGATACCATCTACGTGTTTCTCTTTGCCTGCAGTCTGACACTGAGATTCGCATCGATGAGGCCAAGCGGGTCAAGGAAGAAGAGCTGCAGAAAGCGCAGGAGGAACACGCGCGGAAGATCGATGAAATGCGGAGCTCACTGCAAGCCGAAAAGAAGAGAGCCGTCGACAGGTGTGGGTGGCAGTGCATCTATGTGCACGTGTACTTTGTCTCATGCTTGCGTCTAGGGAGACGATCAAGCTTCAGAACCAGCTGCAGCAAAAGGAGGATGAGTTCGAGAACTACCGTGCCCAGTCTGTGCAAGAGGTGACGCATCTCGCTAACCGGTCCGAGTTCCTCGCTCAGGAGCTCATCAGGGCGCAGGAGACTTCAGAGTTCCTCCGAATGCAGAAGGAATTCAAGTAAGCATCTGAGCAGTCGAACAACATGCATCCCATGCATCCCCCATATCTGTGTGCTGTTTATACTGGCCAGGGGCTCGTTCTACATCACTGTGAGGAAGAAAGCTTACCAGCAGGCAGGCCTCATCCAGTACCTTGCTGTATCCCTCGACATCAACACAAACCGCATCAGGTGCTGCAAGCGAGTGTGCTTGTGTGTCTGCGTTTCCATCCTTAGCATCATTTGCTGCTTGTAGGGTGCTCGAGGAGACCGAGCTGCCTGAGGACACGATGCACGAGGAGATCTTGGACACCCACGGGCGCAGCCTTAAGGATGGCTCCATCGTCTGGGCAAGCACTACCACCAAGGGACCAGGAGCAAGGCCGCCTCCACTGGGCAAAGAGGCGCAGCGGGCTGAGCAGCCGATGACTCAAGGAGATGAGGACATGGAGGACCAAGACTTGTCCCCCCACCCATTCTCCGCAAGCAGCGTACACACGCACACATATATGTAACTAGACACCAGGGGTCTTGTCTACATTGCAGGTGGAGCTCCATCGCACACGAGATCGCGTCCAGCGGCCGCAGGCCCCCAGCCGACCGCTGCTCAACGAGCCCGAAGAGGAGCAGCCTGAGGGAGCAGCAGCCGAGTTCTCTCAGCCGACCATCCCATACCCACCTCCGCCCAGACTGGACGTCGACGACGACGATGACATCAAGAAGAGGAAAGCAAAGCCCTTCAACCCCAACTTCGGTGACAATCCCCTGGTGCGAGTCTTCTGCGAGATTGCGGGTTGGTCAGCAACAACGGTGACGAGAGAGACAAGACATTCTGATGTGGTTCTGTTCGTATGTAGATGATCCGTCGGCCGCCGAGTCCATTGATGATTTGTTGCGGAAGCTGTCGAATTGCGTGGCTGAGGGCGGGTCGATCCTTGACGACATCGGCGTGTGGGGAGTGTGCATCCTGAGGGGCACGCTGACGGCTCCC